GCGGGGGCGGCGTGAGTCTGAGCCAAAGGCTCTTTGCTGCAAGGCAAAAGGGGGAACTGAGTTGGGACAGTGGGGACCTCGGAATGCGTTTCAGAACTAGAGCAAGGTCCCGGTGTGGTCTTCTGGGAAATGTCGGAGATGGTTTCTTGAGATGAGCAAACTCCCTGGCATCGATTCAACCTCTGACTCCGTGAGAGCCTGGCCATAGCAGCAGAGAAACAGCCCGACCTTTCTCGGCTCTAAAGTTCAGCGACTGGTCCCTACCTGCCCTGGACCTAGACCTAGGGTGGGATGTGGACAGTGTTGAGGACAAGGGAACCAGAAGCAGCCTGAAACCGAGGGGTGCCTGCCTTTGGGGCCCCCAGAAGCCAGAGGGCTGCAGGCCACCAGCCATACTCAGGAAGGACTAGACCGACCGACAGAGAGTCCACCTTCTCACTGCCCACTCAGACACCGCATCTTAGCATGCTAGGAATGAGGTGAGCCCTGCAGGAGAGACAGCAGGAGGGAAAGGGCTTCCGAGTCCATCTCCCTATGGAAAGCAGCCAGCAGAGGGTCTGAGCTAGTCCTGGAACAAACAAGAGACTCCTGAACCTCCTAACTCAGAAATGTCCCAATAAGCACCGTCCCCGTTCTGGGCTTCCACCTGCCCTCTGGGGTCATGGGCCCCACACTCAGCCTTTCAGCGGCACACCAGAAAGGTGCCAGGCACCTCAGTAGAGAACTCTGGTGAGAAACAAGATGCCACAGAGAACACAGATGAAATGGATACAGCTTTCCTGCAAGACTCTGGACAACCAGGTCACTGGGCAGCGCCTCAGGGAAGTAAACTATGCTTAAGCCACTAGTGTCCCAAGGTAGCATCCCTGGTGACGAGTCGCACTGACCACCAGCCCTTGACAGGGAGAAGGAAGGCACATGTCCCCAGACCCACAGTGCCAACCTGATCATGTGACAAGCATCAGTGCATCTCACAGAGGGGGTCCGAGACAACCCCCTGGTTGGGGCTCAGTGCAAGGGACATCCGGGCCTGAGCCAGGGAGACACAATGACTCGGCGTGACCGGGGTCCAGAAACAGTAAAACACGGAGACGTTTGAAGAGAGAAGGAGAAGTGGGGGGCGGGGCAGAGTGGAATTCTGGGTGACTGTCTCCATTCCTCCATGCATCTGAAACTGTACTGAAAATACAGCTGGGTTTTATTTGTTTTTGTTTGGGGCCACACCCAGCAGCGCTCAGGATTTCTTCTGGTGGGCATGGGGGGCCCTAGAGGGTGCCCGGGATCAAACCCAGATGGGCCACATGCAAGGCCAGAGCCCTGCTCACTCTACGAACGCTCCAGCCCCCTCCAGCTTACTTAAAAAAAAAACAAAACCTTGAAATCTTGGTGAAAGTTGATACTGATACAACCCAGATTTATACCAATACACCCCCCAGGAGAACACGATTTCCTTGGCTCTTTGGTCCAGAGCCCTGATTTCGGTTGCCTCTTAGACAAGACTCGGTTTGGAAACTTTTGTTGAAGTCTGAGAGCCCCAGCTAGGAGAGTGAGAGCCAGGTGGAGCCGCTTGGAAGATGAGAAGGACACGGGTGGATTGAGGAGGCAGCAGCAGACGCCAGAAATGCAATCAAGCTAGCCAACGGGCGCCGGGGAGGTGGCTCGGGTCAGGGTGCTAACTTGGCCGCACAAGGCCCCGAGTTCCATCCCTGCCACCGCACGGAGCTCTGAGCACCGCCAGGAGCAATCCTGAAGGCCCCTGAGCCCCATCTGGGCTGGTTGTTCGAGGCCCACTGGGTTGGTCGAGTGACCTCAGTCACCTCGGGGCTCCCTAGTCCCTGCTTGGAGGCATCCCACCAAACAGCCGAGTTGAGCGGGCAGTGCCTGCAGTGAGCACTGACTCAAGACACTTGGTGTCCCGTCTCCTTCTCCAAGGAGAAGGATGTGCATGGGGAAATGGTGCCGAGCGTGCCCTGCACAGGGCGAGCTGGAGGAGCGGTCACAGCCGGCCACCCGGTCCCGTTCCTGCCCTCAGAGCCCTCATTGACCCGACAAGCTCTTGTTACCTGCCGTGCCTCTACTTTTTAACGGTAAAATGGGTGCACGTGGGGGAGCAGGCGTGGGGCTAGCTCTGGTTAGCTCCCTTAGAGCCGCTGCTCACTGCATGTTCTGGCCTTCCACCAAGGGTTTTATCTGACTAGGAAAGCCAAGGCCCACGGGGGCACTGCTAGGACCAGAGCCACAGGGTGGGCCGTGGTGTTGCCCCGGAAGCCACCCTCAGCCCTTCAGGCAGGGTGGCTCTAAGGGGTCGGGGGTCCCTGGTGCTTGGGGAACTACACTCTTACCTCCTGCAGTGGATCTGTTGTCTCAGGAGGGGGCCCCGGGGTGGGGGGCGGGCTTGGAGGAGCAGTTCCCAATCCCTCCAGCCTGGTCTGCTCGCCCTTCCTGGGGATACCCCCGCCCCCCCCCTCCCGCCCTGTCATCATTCTGCTGTCTTAACTAAGAACCTGAGCAGCAGGTGGTTTTCCAATTAAAACAGCTTTTCTTCTGTTCATCTCTTTTCCAGATGTCACTCCCGAGAGGGAATCGGTCTTCATATATTGGCGCTTTCCTGTGCGCCATCCAAGGCAGGCTCCTCTGGGTGAGACCCCCTGGAAGGATGAGATTGTGTGTGTGTGCATATGTGTGTGGGGGGCTGTTGGGGAGGGACTTGGACCAGGTCCACAGGAACATGGGGGGGTGCCGGGAGCTCAACATAGAAAGTGTGCAGGTTGGTTAGCATTCGGGTTTGCCCTGGGCCTGCAGCTGAGCCCGTGGCCACTTTGTGTGATGGGCCTGTGTCGGGGGTCGGGGCACTGTGTGGGCAGTTGCAGCCTGAGCTGCGTCTCCTCGCCCCCGGACGACTGCAGAAGGCTCCTTACCCTGCACTCTGAACCTGGGCCTTGAGGCTGGAGCAATAGCACAGCAGGTAGGGCGTTTGCCTTGCACGCAACCAACCCAGGTTCGATTCCCAGCATCCCATATGGTCCCCTGAGCATCGCCAGGAGAAATTCCTGAGTGTGGAGCCTGGAGTATTCCCTGTGCATCACCGGGTGTGACCCAAAAAGAAAAAGAAAATCTGGGCCTTGCTGGAGATGGTGTTGCAGGGGCTGGGGCTGGGGGTGGGGGGTGGTGCTAAGGCCTCTCCACCCAGCCATCCCCGCCCATCTCCACCCCTACTCCTGTCCTCCTCTTCAGAGGCAGCTTGATGCATCCAGCAAACGCCAGCTGTGAACCCTGCAGCATCCAGAGTCCTCAAAGCTGACAGCAGGAACCCAGGTGGCTCTGTGGCTTCTGAGTGTGAGGCCTTGCGTTGGGGCCCAGATGTCACCCACATGCGACTTGACCGTCTGGGACCCCCGGTGCCCCCAGAGTTACCATCTTTGCACATGGTATGTGTGTGTTCAGGAAGGAATGTGAGGCCCCATTCCCATGAGCATGGGAGCTCCACAGCGCCCCCTGCTGAGCACGACATTAATGTGCAGAAGCTCCCCTCCCCCCAACACACACACACACACACACTCACACACAGACACACACACACACACAGAGGCAGGCACCTCGGCACCTCTAGCCAGCATGTGTGACCTCCACACAACAATAACATCACAGGGAACGGAGAGGGAAGACACAAAAACACGAGCAAGAGAACTAGGGTGCGATCCAGCATCGGGGGTCTACCGCAGAATATACCAAGAGCGACCTCTAAGTTTAATGCGCCCTTAGATTCAGGGCAGTGTGGTTCACAACAACCATGGCATGGAAGTAATGCCAGACCCTGGCGGGCAATTGGCTAAGAATGTGTCGGCCAGATCACAGTGGCCGCAATAGTCTCTGGCCACAAAACTGTCGAAGGTTGCCCTTGACAGCACCCTGGACGGAAGCTGAGATGATGGTGCTCAGGAGAGTCACTCGGAAGGGGAAGGAGAGGTGTGGGTGGTCTTTCACAGGAAGAACGGGACGACCCGAAACGCACCAGCGACGGGGACACGGAGCAGCCCCAGACTCAGGCGAATCGTGGTTCCCAGAGGGGGAACTGGCAGAGGGTGGGCTTGCTAGTGGGGAGCAGTGCGAGGGTGCCCGACACACAGGTCGAGGGGCGACATGGAGCTCCCCGATCTCACACCACACTCACATGACAAGAGCAAATCAATAGGGACAGTAAGCCCCGTGACAAAGGACAGTGGGGAAAGGGCATGTGCCCGATTAGGGTTCAAGCCCCGGCACCCCGTGTGGTCCCCCAAGCACCTCCAGGAATGATCCCTGAGCACAGAGATAGGAGGGAGCCTCGAGCACTGCTGGGTGTGGCCCAACCCAGCTCCCCCCCCCACCCCAAATAAATTTGGAAACAACCGAACAGACTCATCTGACCCCCCTGCACCTTGTCCCTTCCAGGTGGAACCCTAACACCCAGGCCCTCCTCCAATCCCCCCTGCACCCTTCTGCTCCCAGCCTGGAGGGGCCCTGACTCTCTGACAGCACTGACACCCCCTCACCCGTGCGCCATGCCCCCTCCCCTTGGCCTCCCTCCTGCAGACCCCCGGCCTGGCCCTGCACCAGCTTCCCCACAGCTGGTTCTACCTAAGGACCATCCCCGGCCCCGGCCCCCTGGACCTCACCACATGCTGGACACACAGGCTAGCGGCCAGGTGGGTGGAGAGAGGCTGCAGGAGGGGGTGTCCACCAGCCCAACCCCAGGACAGAAGGTGATACCCAGGAGCCCCGGACAGCACGCTGCCATGGCTGTGCACCCCTCTCACCGCACTGAGCCTCGTGCATCTGGTCGGAGGGCTGCAGTGTCCCCGCGTGGGCACAGAAGTGGGGAGTCCTGATACATGCCCCTGTCTGCCCTCAGAGACCCCACCCGCCCTCAGAGCCCCCTCTCCACTGCTGAGCTTCTGCGTGAGCCCCATCTGCCCACCCCACCAGTAACAAGAGAAGGGAAGTGGCCGCACGCCTGTTACCCCTTGCTCCTGGCAGATCTGTGTCAGCCTCTCCAGCTGCTCGTCCTGGATGACCTTGGCCTTCTCGTACTGCTGGATGACCATCTCCATCTCCACCTTCACAGGTAGGACGTAGGCTGGAAAATACAACTGGTCGTGAGCACTCAGAGCGCTGGCCGGGCCCGGCAGGAGTTCAAGGCCTGGGTGAGCCTGCTGAGGATCCGAGGGCGCAAAGACCCAGGGACCCAGCAGTGTTCAGAGAGCCCAAGAGGGCAGGACCCTGCCCCAGCACTGAGGGTGCTGCTTCTCTCCTCTCCTGGGGCCCGTGTGCCTTGTGGCTGGGATCAAGGACTGTGCTCCCAGAATCCTCTGGGTCTTGGGAATCCTTGGCCACATCTGGAGTTTGGGATGCAGTCAGGGGTGGTTACTCAACAGACCCCCACCCCCCATATCAGCCTCCATCAAAGGCTTCTGGGGAATCCTGGGACCCTCACGAAATGCTGGCAGGAAGGTGAAACACATCGGCCACTTTGGAAAAGACAGTTTCAAAATGTTCAAAGTGGGAAAAGGTGGGAGTGGGGCAGAGAGACAGTACAGGGCTGAAGGAGATTGCTTGGCACATAGCCGATCTCAGCGTCACCCCTGGCACCATACATGATCTCTGAAGCGCAGCCAGGAGCGATTCCTGAGCAGAGTCAGGAATGACAAGGATGGCCCAACCGCTCCGCTTCAGTAGCAATAATGATAAAGCCAAGAGTGGCCACCGGACCAGCATGTGCTCCCCTGGAGAACCACGGACAAATGAAAACGCAGATGCATGCAGACACTCGGACGTGTGTTCACGGCAGCCCGACGTGGAAACACCCAGGGTGCCCCCACTCTGAGGATAGCTGAGACATGGCCGAGCTGGCCGTGGAGGTGGCTGGACAGCAGCAGAGAAGGACGGTGCCCGGAAAGAGGAGCAGACCCTTGGCCTCAGTGACTGGAAAGGCGCATTTCCAGAGAGAGAGTAGACTGGGGGCTCAGAGCTGAGGGTGGAGAGGGGCAGTGATGGCTAACAAACATCGGGTTTTTTTTTTTGTCTGACTGATAAAAATGATCTAGCTTACTAGTTTGTAACTATGATACGACTCTATAAAGATACTAGTAGCCACTGATTGTGCACATTCAATGGGTACATTTTACGGGATGTGAACTGTATCTCAAGAGAGATGTTTAAGAAGAGAGACAACAGAGCCCTTCCTTTGGCCTCTCCACATCTCCCTCCTGGCTGCAATGGGGATGAGGATGTGATGGCTGGCACCAGCGCAGCCATATTAGGCTCTTCCGTGACTCTAGAAAGCAGGCCATGTGCAACAGAAGGAGAGACAACAGGAGGCTGGAACCTGAATTATAGAGAACATTCTAGCAGCCCCGGACAGTGCTCCCTGCAGCTTTGCATGTGAGAAAAGGAAGCTGCTGTTTGGTACAAGTCACATGGGCCCCCTGTTACAGACGGTCCTGAGATCCAGAGAAAGCCTGCACTCAGGGCTGGAAGACACCACCTCCCTTCACACCCCCTAGTAAACCACAGCTCCAGGGACCATCTCTTCCCTTTGGTAGTTTTTAGGGCCATACCTGGCTATGCTCAGGAATTACTCCTGGCTCTGTGCTCAAGGATCACACTTCGTGGTGCTCAGGGGACCCTGTGAGGATGCCAGGCACAAATCCAGATAGGCCGTGTGCAAGGCAAGTGTTTTCCTTGCTATTGTCTCTCTCCAGTACCCTTGGGTAGTTCTTGGAGCTTCTGGAAGTCTCCGTATCAACTCTCACTCCCCACCCCCCACCCCCAGTGTTTGCCTGGTGCTCTCTTCTCTCACCTCTCTGAACTCAACCCTTCCAGATGCCCCTGGAAACACCACTGTATGTTTCCCTCTGACTCTGGACTCTCCACATCTCTGCCCTCCTCCCCTGGCCTTCCCACCTTCAGATGGTCTCTGCAGATCTGCAGAGACACGCAGAGAAGGGAAACAGGACACGCTGTCTGCTTCTAAACCGAAAGCAGTTCCCAGGTCCTGGGGGCCTTCCTGCAGCCCCTGCCCACCTCTGCCTATGCAGCTCCCTGTGAGAGCCAGTTCAGGGCAGGGAGAGAGACTCCCCTGGTGCCTGGAAGGGCGGGAGATATGGGGGCTGTTGGGAAGAACATTCACAGTGGGGATGTGGGGATCTAGCAGCAAGAGGGCACACGGCTGTCCACAGCGGACAGAAAGGGCCGGCCAGTGGGCACGGCTCCCACCCAGGGCACCTTCCCAGGGACAGAGCCAAGAGCAGGCTCTGAGCGGGCAGGAAAGAGTGAATGGCTCAGAGTGGTGGGGGACCCTGGGGCGGCAGGTGGGGGGCTCTTTGCTCAGAGTCAAATTACAGTGTGAGCCACATCCCTTTGCTTTTGGGGACCACGTCCGGCTGTTCGGCTCTCAGGGATCACTACTGGGAGGCTTAGGGGACCAGAAGGGGTGCCGGGGGTGAATCCGGGTCGGCCCAAGCAAGGCAAATGCCCTCCCCGCTGTACTATGGCTCTGACCTCTCAGTTTCCCCACCTGTCCAAAGAGAGGACGTGACTAGACGATCTTCCAGAGCCTTCCAGCTGGGGCTCCCAAAGCTGGACTCAGCCCCAGCCCAGTCTGCTGACCCTGAGGATTCTGGGTCTCCTGAGATGGAAATCCCAAGGGTGGGACAGAGGGTGGGGACCAGGGAGAGGGGCCCAGCCTTGCGGCTCAGAGACCCCACAGCCGTCCTTCCAGAAGGGGTGCTGACCTTCCACCCTGCTGCATCGTGACCCTAGAGCCAGGCTGGAAGGACCTTCTCCAGATTATCATAGAGTGGGGTTTCTGTGGGGAGTAGGAAGGGACAGACAGGGTTTGAGTGACCCCTGCAGGTGCTGCAGATCTGTTCCTGCCTCTGTGCTCAGGAGCGACCCCTGGCCGTGCTTAGGGGAACTTTTGTGGTGCTGAGACTCAAACCACGCATGCAGCCTGGAGTTTCAAAATTGGCTTCCCGTCCTGAGAGCCTGGGGAGAGGAGGGGTGGCCCTGAAGTATGTCCAGGCAAATCCAGCAGGCCAGTTCCTCCACCCCACCTCTCACCTTGGTCTTTATTATTTGGGGGGGGGGTGTCACACCTGGCGATGCACAGGGGTTACTCCTGGCTCTGCACTCAGGAATTACTCCTGGCAGTGCTCGGGGGACCATATGGGATGCTGGGAATCGAACCCGGGTCGGCCGCGTGCAAGGCAAACGCCCTACCCGCTGGGCTATTGCTCCAGCCCCTCACCTTGGTCTTGAACAGAAAGATCTGCTTGTGTGTTTTGTTTAGGAACACACCAGGTGGTGCTCAGGGCTTACCCTTGGCTCTGTGCTCAGGGATCCCTCCCGGCTGTGCTTGGGGGACCATTCGGGGTGCCAGGGAGGGAACCTGCGTCATCTGTGTGCCAGGCAAATGCCTTCCCTGCCATACTATCGCTCTGGCCGAGTAAGAGAGTCTGTACCAAGCAAATCTCTGCAGCATGCAGGCCTCCCCAGAGTGGCTGTGTGGGGACGAAGGGACCATTTCTCACGAAGACCACCCGGCAGCCCGAGAACGCAGGTGGCCGAGGGAGCAGTGTGTCCTGGAACTTCACCCTGGGCCCACGAGGCTGCTGGTTCATCCCCCAGTGCTCACAACCTCTCCCCTCTCAGTGGACAGCCCTGCTGGGGTTGCCTGGGTGACCCCTGGGGTTTGGGCGGCCCTGTGGGCTCCTCAGACGACTCACCGTCAATGACTCTCTTCACTCGCCACATCCGAAGCATGATGATGAGGCTGATGGCATCCCAGGGGCTCCGGGGCCCGTTGGCCACGGTGGATGCTACCATGGGCGCCAGGGACAGAATAATGACTGCACCGTCAAATACCTGTGGGAGGGGGATGGCATTCAGTGCCCTGGACCAGCTCCTGAAGGCCCAGGAGCCGCACGCCAGGTCAGGTGGAGCAGGAGAGCCAACCCTTCCCGCCCCCTGCCCATACCCTGTCCCTTGGGAAGGTCACCGCTGTCCATCATCAGACATGCCACTCCTTGACCGCCAGGCTTGAGAGGCCCTTCCTGCTCCTGGACCTGCCCCCGGGCTCTCTCTGTTCTCTCAAATGACCTCAACCTCTCTCCGGCCTCTGTCCAGGCAGCCTTGGGCTGAGCAAGTGTCTTCTCCAGCATCTGGTCACTGCTCTGAATAGGGCGCATGTCCCGGGCCCAGGCAGAGTCAGGCTGCATGGACCTCACAGGCCGGCTGGAAGTGTGTGATAAGCACAGACCATGGGGAACCCACTTTTCCTGGGACAGCCAGAGTCCAGAGTCCAGATCTCCCCGCTAGCTGGGGTAAATCTCGAAACCCGCGGGGAGTCAGGCTGGGATAGAGGGACCAGCTTCACTGGTCAACCCCAGGCCCTGAATGCCCATTGGCTTGGTCCAGCCTGGCCGTGCTCTGAGATTTCCATGGCTGGTCTTTGGCATCAGCCCCCAGCACTAGGACCAAAGAGATGACAAGGTGGATGGAGAGAGGTGAGGCAGGGCTGGGCATCAGACACAATTTTGCCTTCACCTGGGGGCACAAAATCCCCCACAACCAGAGGGCCCCTCCTCCTCCACCCCTGCATGAGGCAGAGAGGCTTGTTTGTTCTGGAGACACAGAAGCTACTAGCACTTTCCTCGTTCTGCTCAGCTCTGCAAACACTGGGCCATTTTTACAGTGGCCTTGTTTAAAAACAACCCAAGCAACCCCCCAATACTCATTTCAAAATCTTTCAAAAACAACTAAAGGGTAACAACACAATGCTGACCTTCAGGGAGATCCCTTCATAGAGTGCCTTCGCTGGAACTTTCTAAGTGGGTCCCCTCTTCCCTCCTGCGCAGCTGAAGCTGTGCCTGCAGAACTCATCCAGCATGGAACGAGTCCCCATCAGGGATGCTGGACAACCCACGCCCAGCTTCCCGGGTACCCGGCTGCAGTGCTGCGTAAGGACATGGGTCATTACCTCTATTTTGTTTTCAATGTAATCCCAGATCCCAAGCACCACAATCCGCAGAACAGTCTGAGGAGAAAGAGAAGAGAGAAAGAAAACAGCTCATGAGTTCAACTCTCCCCCCATCCCACTCCCCCATGGAGAAGGTCCCAGGGCTTGTTCAATAATGGGACAACAGCTTGGCCATCCCCACACACGGCTCAGCCCACCGCAGCCCCAGCCCTGCACTCAAAAGTCCCTGGTGTTTGGAACAAAACTCCAGAGGCAAGACTCACTCTCAGGTCACATACAAACTGAGTTTTCTCTCCTTTCTCCTCCTGTTTGCCAGCGGTATGGCTCCCCTCCCTCCGTTCCTTCTCTCCTAAGATAGTCGCTGGTGCTTTGGACGGGCCACCCAGCTAAAGACTACACTTCCCAGACTTCCTTGCTTCTGGAGCGGCCATATGACCGGGCTCTGGCCAATGGTTAAGAGGAGGAGTACAAGATCCCAGTAGTGCCCTTCCGGGGATGCCATTCTGCCCTGCCCTCTCTTCCAAAGACTAGAATGTGGGTGCATGGGTGTGAGCGTGAGCCACTGGGGGCAACAAGAGGGAAGCCTCCTGGATCCCCCCACCTGGGGCAACGAGAGGGATACTGGGTCCCCAGGGTGTATCTACCATGACTACTGCAGTGTCACCCACCAGAGATAGGAACCTTGTCCCTGCTGGTGCCCCTGGTTTTCTGGTTCCAGGCAGTGCTCACCAACTCAATCCCCTCTCTCTTCCCTGCCCAATGTCCTGGCCTGGGCCCCGCTGTTCCCTCTGAGCACCACCTACCTCTTCCCTCCATGAATTTACAGCTCCTGGAACATCAACCTGAAGAGGCCCGAGAGCCTGTCTGGTTTCTCCTCCCACCCTAATCCCTGGCCTAGACACGGCGTGATCACCTGCTGTGAAGGAGCGAACACGGGCGCTGTGGATGTCTAATCCTTAAAGCCTCAGCCCAGGAGCTCATGTCTATGGGGGTGGCTTCTTCTCTAAGAGAAAGTCTTTCTCCAAAAAGCCCTCACCCAGCTGTTCTAGGGGGATCCCTTCCTTGGCCGGGATTCCCGATTCTCTAAGCCACACCAGTCCGTGTCCTTCTCCCATATTCTTGTAGCCGGGCCAGAAGGCCCAGGGCTGTGTGTCTGCATTTACGGATTGTTTTCTTTTATTTTTTTAAATTTTTTTTAAATTTTTGGCTTTTTTGAGTGTCACACCTGGCGATGCTCAGGGGTTACTCCTGGTTCCGCTCTCAGGAATTACTCCTGGTGGTGCTCAGGGGATCATATGGGAAGCCGAGGATTGAACCCAGGTTGGCCATGTGCAAGGCAAGCTCCCTAGCCACTGTACTATCTCTCTGACACCCTGTGTCTGCATTTAGTATACAGAAAAAAAAAAAGCCTGCGATGGGTCCCAGCTATAGTACAGCAGGGAAGGCGCTTGCCTTGTTGGCCAGCACCATGGCCAACATGGGTTCAATCCCCAGCACAATATCTGGTTCCCCGAGCCCTGCCAGGAGTGATCCTTGAGTACGGGACAAGGAGTAAGCCCTGAGCACCCCCAGGTGTGTGACCCCCCGACCCCTCTGCCCAAGCCAGCAGAGAAATCCACTTCTTCCTCAAAGACTGCTGCTTTCCAGGAAATATCCCTAAACTACCCTATACGACCCCCTATCCCTAAACTACCATCTTCTCCATGCGGGCAGCACCTCCTTCTGCTCCAGCCCTGGGAGGTCGTTAGAATGCAGATTCCCAGGCTGGGGGGACCCCCCTGCCCCGGGTATCTCCTCCCCCACCCCCAGGGAAACCCCTTCTTCCTATCTGCTGAGGCTCCCTCCCACCCACACCCTCTGAAGCAGCAAGACAACATTAAATTCCAGCCCTAGGAAAATGCCAGAAACCTTCCTGGGCGCCCCCAGGCAGCCTCCGGGGGTGGGGTGGGGGTGGGGGTGGGGGAGCGCCCCCCGACTTGGTTGAGGGGGACGGCGGAGCAGTGCGAGCGCGCCCCCTAGCGTTTCGGCGCTGCTACAACAGGACCAGAAAGGCTAAGGGGGACAGAAGGTCCCCCCAGGGTAGAGAATGGGTGTTGGGGACAGACCCCATTAAAGGCCCGGTAAATGGCCGGCGAGGCCGCGTGACCCCTGCACATGTTGCCCTGTCCTGCAGCTCCTGTTTCCTAATTTCACAGGCCACACAGGCGACTGCCCCTGACTGCTCTGCTGCTAGCAAATGCATCTGGGTTGGGATGCAAGTTGGGAATGGACAGGTGAGAAAAGCTTCCTCCTTTTAGAGAAGGGGCCACCATGACAAAGATAGTTGGGAATGGTAGTTCAGACAGCATGCTGAAATTAGGTTAAGGAACAGATATGATAACCTCTCAGTGATCTGTATTGCAAACCAATAAGGCCCAAAAGGATGGAGCCCACCCCCGCCCCCCACATGAGAATGAATCTGCTGAAAAACCCAGGTATGCGGGACCAGTGACTGAAAACTCCAGGCTTCACGGAGACGGGAATGGGCTGCCTCTTCCCCTCTCCCTGCCCTTCGGGTTTCCTGGAAGTCACGCCGGAGAACTTCCCTCAGGTGTCATTTAAGTGCATTAATGGCCATGATTCAGAGATTCACAAATGAATCTCGGAAGAGAGCAGCATGCTGCTGAGATGTCTCTGGACCCCAATTATTTAAAATTTTAGAATTCCAGGAGCACACGGCTGCTTTTGTGGCCGCCCGCCATCTCATACAAAATAAATTATTTAGCATCTGCCTGTGGAGCAGGCTTGAGTGGTGGTGGGAAAAATTCGAAATAATAGTGGTGGGAAGGTGTAATGGTGGTGGGATTGGTGTTGAAATATTGAATGTAATCCATTATTGAGAGCAACTTTGTGAAAATAAAATTGAAAAATTAAAAGAAAACAAAAGGAGAGCGAGAGAGCAAGAGAGAGAGAGAGAGAGAGAGAGAGAGAGAGAGAGAGAGAGAGAGAGAGAGAAGAAAAGCACCCGCCATAGAGATAGGTTGGGAGAGGGTGTGGGAGGGAAACTGAGGACAGTGGTGGTGGGAAATGTACACTGGTGGAGGGATGGGTGTTGGAACACGATATGGCTGAAATCCAACCATGAACAGCTTTGTAACTCTGTATCTCCCAGCGATTCAATTAAAAAATTTTTTTTAAAGAAAGAAAGCAGTTTCCTGCGAAGATGGGGTCCACTAGGTGCCCTTTCTCAGAAGGAACAAAGTGTGTCCATGTATATCACTGGGCACGACTCGCTGGCTATCGACTGAATCAGCAGCGGGGACTCCAGGGATGGCAAAGCAGGCCACTGCTCTTACTCTGCCTTGTCTGTATCCCAGATTTCCTCTGATGGGCAGAATTAGCTGCGGCAACATGAAGAAGACTGGTTGCTGCTTTTTTTTTTTTTGGAGGGGTGGGGCTATTAGGATACCTCGGTGAAGCTCAGAGTCTATTCCCAGCGCTGGGCACTGATTAGGGGACCGAGCACTGCCAAGGACCAAACTAGGGCTCTGGCTGTCTCGCTGTCTGTGCTCACTGCCTGGCCCAGAGACTGTTTTGCTTTGTACACATCCAGGGGATGTGACGGAGCCTCACAGCTCATTCTGGGGCAGACAGATGAGACGCAAGAGGTACCCAGGACCTGCTTTTGGACTGTCACCTGCCCCATCCCTGAGGGTCACATTCTTCTTCTGAGGCCAAAAATCTGGATGGGACCCTCTTCTCTCCTGAAGATGCTGTGTGACATACATTGGGGCAGCTCGGAGCCGGAGCAGGACTTTATATGTGATGTTGCTGGGTTCAGCCCCCTTCTGACACGGTCAGTCCCTGTCCGGGGGGCTAACAAGCAGGTCATTAGCCTATGCTTGACACCGTCTAAAGCAGTATCTCCCATCCCTTCTCGATGCCGCTGCCCTGCCCATCAGATCAATGTCAAGTTCACAGTCAATGAAAAGGCGGAAATCAGATTTGAGAAGAGATGTTGGGGGACCATGCGGTGCCAGAATCCAAACCCCTGGAGCTTCCACGTGTGAAGCATGGAATCCCACCCTTGCGGCCAGGAGCCAGACTTCTCAGGGCAATTTCTCATGTTTGAGTCTTGTGTCCTCCACTGGTGCGGTGTGATACCCAGCCCTCTGCCAAGCGATGGGGGGAGACGTGAGAACAGAATGCGGCACCTCCCCCTCTGCTGGGGAGACAAGCTGTGTGGCAGGGTTAGGAATAGGCCTTCCCTTCCTCGTGGGGTGCAGAGCAGGGGTCTCCCTCAGGCGGCTAGGGACAAGCATCAAGGAAGAAGTGAAGAGCGTCTGGGCCGAGCCTGCAGGGAGGACGGAGCTGGGAGAGGCCTGGCCACGGGCCGTCCCCCCGAAGCAGAAAGCACCGCCCAGGCCTTCCCAGAGGAAATGTCCAGGTCCCGTAAGACCCCCCAGCAGGGCAGAGAGAAGCACCCCCCCCCCCAAGAGAGGATGTTGCTCTCTGCTGGAAAACAGCCACAGTCCTACTTCCACACACACTTCCTCACCGCCTGCTGGGAAACAGAATAAACATATCACCGTGCATGCGCACTGCTGACCCGCCAGACCCGAGGGCCTCCTGGTGGTGGCAGAAAGTCCCCCAGGACCATGGCTGTGGGTTTCTGCTGGTGCTGAGGGCTAGGGCAGGGGGGATGGGGGTGGGGCCCACACGAGGCAGATCACAGCCACTTTCCAAACCCCTAGGGTGCTGCTGGGGTTCGACCCTTGCTCGGGGAGCCCACCTCAAGGCACCCCTCCTGATCCCAGGGGGTGTCCTGAGAGGCTGTGGGGCAGCTGTGTTCCCACCAGACTTGGGTCGGAATATGTGGTTCGCTCTGGTGAGGGAGCAGGGTAGGGGGCTGGGGGGGGAGGAGCAGAGCTCTGAAGTTCTCACCTCTCCCCATGCATGTGTGGAGAGGAGGGAGACAACGTCTCTCCCTGGTTCTGGAGCATCAACCCCGGGGTGGGACCCATTCCTCGCCTGAAGGCTAGGGAACGCTGTGGCACAGAGAGGGGGAGACACCTGCCGAAGACCACACAGCAACCAAGTGGGCCAAACTGGCTCCCTCGGGTGGAGCTCTCATCAGACACTCATCAGGGCAGACCCCAATGCGCGCTCACATCTCAGAGGCCAGAGCCCAGTGCAACTCCCCGCCCTGCCCACCCCATACTCCCTCCCAGCTGATGAGGCTCCCTGCCCTGCCCCCCCACCACCCCCGTGCCCCGGCACAAGCAGGAGAGACCCTCCCAGAGCCAGTCTTGCTGGGTGGGCAGAGATGAGGGCCTTGGTGGGCATGTGGCATCATTCGGCCAGCAGGCGGCTCCCAGGGGATCCGGCCATCCCTCTGGGAGGCTGAGCCAGGCAATCACGAAGCCTGGGCCTCTGGGTGCCTGAAGGAGCCTCCCACCCCGGCCTCCCTCTGAGGAGCAGCAGCTGCCTGAGGCCCCACGACAGTTCCTGCAGTGTCCACTCCCCAGGCCTCAGCCCATTTCCAGCACATCAATGCACCTGCACCCCCCAGCACCCCTCCCCCCGCCGAAGCCCTGTTTGAGGGTGACAAGAACCTGCGCTCACTGAACCCTTTCGGTTACAGCTTGGGACTTTCTGAGGAGTTGCACGGGCCCCTGGGTCCTGCTGAGCTGGTGTGGGCCGGCAGCTGGGTTCCTGGTGCCTGTGGAGTGCCCTGAGGGCTGCCTGCCCCAGGCTGGGGTTCTCCCCTTCTCCGTACTGGACCCTGGCTATGGCCTCCCCACCTCCTCCACCCCTTCCCCCCCCCCCCCCACACACAGGACTGCAGAGGCCTGAGTGCAGGCCAGAGCTCTGAGCCCTGGGACTGCCCGGCCATAACCCCCGCCAACCCCCCCCTCCCCGACCTCTCACCTCCCTGCCTTCTTTCCCAGAGGACCAATGAGGAGGGCCTGGAGCGATAGCACAGCAGGTAGGGTGTTTACCTTGCACACGGCCAACCCGGGTTCGATTCCTAGCATCCCAGAGGGTCCCCCAGCACTGCCAGGAGTAATTCCTGAGTGCAGAGCCAGGAGTAAGCCCTGTGCATCGCCGGGTGTGGCCCAAATACCTGCCTCCCACCCCCAAACAAAAGTGAAAGAGAACGCTCATAGGAGTGAGACCTTGCCATTGTCAGTGAGGACTTCCAGTGGCCAACAGGCCACCTGACCTGCTCTGGAGGGACACTCAGTCCCTGGCCCTTCCCTTGAGGGGGCCCCAGTCATGGCACATGCCTGACCTCTTAGGAGCAAGAGTACCTCCAGAAGACCCTTCTAGCACGTTCTGAGCTCTGCCCGGCTCCCTCCCTAAGCTGCCATGTCCCTCCTCCTTCCCACTGAAGGGTACATGTTGTGTATGCGTGTGTGTACATGCATGTGTGCATGAGTGTGTGTGCATGTTTGTGCGTACGTGTGTGTGTATGTGTCTCAGTGTCTCTCCAACATGACCGTGCCCAGACTCATAATCTCTGAGAGTCTGTCCTGGTTCCCAGCCCCCCAGCTCTTGCTCTGGGCCCCCTGAGGGTCTTCTAGGCCGTCCTGGTGGCAGGTGTGTGTGTGGGGGGCGTCTCCCCTCAGGCTGGGCTGTTTCAGGTGGCCCATCTCAGGCGGTGACAGGAAGGCGACGGCTGATTAACACAGGGCCATAAATCCTGCAGAGCCGATAAAAACCAAAGCAGCGGCGGGCACGGCCAGAGGCGCCGGAGCAACTGGTTCAACATTATTGTTGGCAGACACAGCAGAGGCGCATTCTCGGAGGCTCAGCAGCCCAAGGAGATCGTGTGGCTGCTGTGGGAGCCTGGGAAGGGCCCAGGGAGGCGGCTAGTCTCAGGCAGCTTGGGCAGTGTGAGAGGGGCAGGCATGGGGGTCTGAGAGGGGAACGCTTGGTCCCAGGGGGTCTGGGGTAACTGCTGTCCGGCCCACAGCCAGACCAGCGGGCCCCCAGGCCGAGAAGACCCAGCCCTCCTCTCAGAATGTGAGAGAGATCGCACCCCGGCCAGAGCAGCCCAGGAAGGACTGTCCACTCCCGGGGTCCACGACACACCCCTGACACTCTCGCCCGCTGCATCTCTGTGTATCCTTCCTCCCTTGCAGGCTCCTCACCTCACCCTCGCCTCGGGGGAGCCCCTGGCCCTAGACTGGCTGCAGGTGGGGCGGGGAGTGCCACCAGCCCCAGGCTGCTTGAAGTCAACACCCCTCAGAAGGAAGCCGGGTGGGGGCAGCAGATTGGGGTCGCCCCACGCAGGCACCCTCACACGCGTTTGTTTCTCTGCCATGCAACACTGTGAGGCTAGAGACACCCCCGCCCCACACACGGCTTCATCAGAGGGTCTCAGCAGCAGGGCCGAGGGACGCACCCCACCCAGCACCCACACTCGGAGCGCAGTTCTAGCCAAGCTCGGCATCTGGTCCCTCAGGAGGGGTCCCTCATTCCAGCCCTAGTTCCCGCCCTAATGCTCAGGAGTCTGGCCACCCCCATCCACATGGGCATCAGTGACCCCTGCTCCCCTCCCCCCTAGCTTTATACTCCTCCCCAGCCACACCAACCAACTACCCCCAATCACTCTCACCTGCCCGGTACCTGCCCGCCCTCATCTGACCAATACTTGCCCATCCTTACCTGACCGCTACCTGCCCGCTCTCACCTGCCTGGTACCTACCCATCCTCACCTGCCCAGTACCAGCCCGGTATCTGCCCCTCCTCACTGCCCAGTACCTGCCTGCTCTCTGGGATTGTCCTAGGGCCAGCTGGTGGCCATTTGTCCCTGAGCCCCTCGAAGCACAGAGCTGCCCTCCCTGAGCGTGTCCAGGAAAGTCGGACACGCGATGCCTGCACCCGCCTTGGACGGGGGGAGTCCTGGGAGCAGGGGGCAGGCATGCGTCCACCTACCTCAGAGAAGAAGACGGACAGAATGGCGAGGCTGATCCAGTGGATGACGCTGGCAAACTGGAAGGCGCTGGAGACTGCAGCGGACACAGAGCGGCCGTGTGAGGGCGGCACCGTGACACCTGGTGACGTGCGTGCAGCCCTGCGCTCCGAATGGTGCCAGTGAGGGCGCAGGGGCTGGGGTGGAGGGAGTGTGGGAACACTGTCTGCCTTCCTCCATCACAGGGGCCGCTCTGAGCCTCACCTCACATGTGACCCTGATGGGCCCTAAAAGCATCCTTGCTAGGGGGCTGGCGAAAATGCCACTGGGGGCAGGGCCCACGAGCCCCCACAACCGCCTCCACGACCACCCCAAAGGACAGTGCTCACCAGGGGACAGGCCCAGGTCACTTGGGGCATCTGGGGGGACAGGCCCAGCTCACTCGGGGGACTCAGGAGACCCGGGGGACAGTCCTGGCTCACTCGGGGGACCCAGGGGACAGGCCTGGCTCACTCAGAGGACCCAAAGGACAGACCTGGCTCTGTTGAGGACCCGGGGGACAGATAGGCCCGGCTTACTCGGGGGACCCGGGGGACAGGCCCAGCTCACTGTTGGGGACCAGGAGGTCAGGCTCAGCTCACTCAGGGGACCCAGGTGACAGGCCCAGCTCACTTTTTCTGCAAACTGAGGGAAACAGAGGTGGGTGTGTCCATAGTGTTTCGGGGAGAAGGCTGGTACAAGGACGGAGTGGGGAGCCCACTCCCAAGTCCCCCCACCACCCTTCAGACTCTGGATGTGAGGGGGTGTGCAGGAGCCCCTGAATTCTCACCTCACCTCTGCCGGGAGTGGAGACTATGTGTATGTGTGTGGTGGGGGGAGGGGGTCCCCTGAGAAAACAGGAGCAGGGCCCAACAAGCTCCCATCAGGAGGGGCCACAGTCAGGGTGGGAGGGGGGCCCGGACAGGGTTGGGGAGAGGGTGGGAATGCTCCCCAGAGGGGCATGAGAGAAGAGAGATGAGAGGGACATTTGGGGACAGCTGCAGGGAGCCTTCCAGTGCCGTGTGGGGTGCAGGTTGGCTACCCCTGGGCCCCGGGGACTGGTGAACCCCCAAACTCTGAGATGGGGTGGGTAGGAACCAGGTTCTGCTGAAGAAGACTGGGTCCAGGTGGGAGATTCAGGGCCCCTAGGCTTGGGGCCAGCACCGCCCCCTGGAGGGCTGGGGGGCTTCTCTCTGTCCTGTGAACTCACGTGGGAATAACCCAGAGGCTGCGGCCAGAGCCCCGCACCCCCATCCTTGTGGGAACAGAAAATCCTTCCCATCATTTCTCAACCAAATCCCTGCACCTTCTTCTTTTTTCTTTAACGGTGCACTTTAGAAGAGCAATAAATCTCCGATTGTGCATTTTATGGAAGTTAAGATGCCTTTTATGAGCTGCTATTGGATCTCCCACCAAAATCAATCTCCCGGATACTTAATTTTAAACGAAATCCCAGGGCCGGCCAGGTTCTCAGTTGTCAGTGCCACAGCTGGTGTGGCGAGGCCTGCGTCCCCACAGGGCCGGGAACAAGGGCTCTTAGGGCCTGGCCTCCACAACAGTGGCCGCTGCCCCCGCAGGACGGAGCATGGCAGGCACGACTGCACTGAACAGTCCAAGTGCCCAGCGACACTGGTCGCTTTATGCAGCCAGATACTCTGATGGGAATCCCGGGGAATCCCCCCTGCGTGGACCCCAGGGGGGCTCATCCAGGTTGCTCTGTTCTCCCGCAGCCTTTCCTCGCGAGACGAGGCTGAGACAAGGAACTGACTCTCAGGCAGAGGCTCCTTAAAGGAACTTGAGGGCTGGAACCACAGCACAGTGGGTAGGGCGTTTGCCTGGCACGAGGCTGACCCGGGTTCAATTCTCAGCATCTCAGATGGTCCTCTGAGCACCGCCAGGAGTAATTCCTGAGTGCAGAGCCAGGAGTAACCCCTGAGCATCGTTGGGTGTGACCCAAAATGCAAAGAAAAAAAAAAGGAACTTGAGAAAACAGGTCCAAAATGACTCCCTGGGCTGAGAGGGGAACCGGTTCTATAGTCCTGGAGTTTGCCAGTAACAAGTTGGGGAATCTGGTGGTGTTGTTGTTGTGTGTGTGTATGTTGGATTTATAATCCATCCTCTATCTCACCTGCCTTTAATGATGGACCTTCTGAATTGGGAGCCAGGAGCTAGGTGCACAGTTTTGGTTCTCAACCCTGGCCCCCCAGACAGGAGGCCTCTGCCTGGGAGTGGCGTGGGGGAGGGGAGGAGGAGGCAGGACCCCACTCGGGCTTTAGGGGACCCGCAGAGGCCAGACAAGGCAGAGGGGTAGGTGTGGGAACAGAGGGCAGAGCTGGGTGAACTGAGGCGGGTGGGGGGTGCTGACTAGGTAGCTAGGGCACCTCACTGCACCACCTCTGCAAGAGGTGCCCCCTGACTCAGGGCCCCCGCAGCAGGGGCAGCACGCCACCCGCACGAGGACACTCTTGGAACCACAGGAAACGCCAGCCTGGTCCACTGGGAACCCTAAAAAATGCTGAAGAGTCTTGACAGGGGTGGCGGCCTCCTAAATCTCATCTGATTCTGGGCAGGGACGGCCGGGAGGGGGGTTGTGAGCTGGGGGAAGGGGAGGAGGAGGAGCCCGCCGAGGGGGCTGCCGGGGACCCCCGCTGTCCCTGCCCTGGGGTGGGGGCCCCCGCCAGACCGCACGATCCCCGCGGGCGCCTCTGGCTACTCACACTGGAGGAGCTTCATATCTATCAGCAGTTCCAGGGCCAGGAGGAGCACCACCAACACCACACAGGCCACCAGGACACTGTTGACGCTCGCACTGAGCAAAAACACCTGCGCCACGGCCGCCCTCTTCCCGCAGCACGGCTTCAGCCAGGATGACCTGCGGGCGGGGCGCACAGGGGTGAGATGCGCACGGCCCACGCCCCGCTTCAGCACCCCACTGCCCCCCACCCACAATCAAGAGGTCCCGGGGTGAGTCGTGAGAATAAACAGCTTTCGAAATGGGGGCTCCAGGGGGGCTGCCCCAGGGCCCTCTCTGACCGGCTGTCCTACCCCTCATCCCAAACCCAGAGGAAGGGGCCGGGGAGACGGTTCCCAGGGCTGGGCCCCGTGCACACGGGACCCCGACACCTCCAGGAGTGATGCCCCCCAGCAAAGCAGGCGTGGGCCAGTCGAAAACTACAAAAGAAACAGAAGTCAACTAGAGCCCCTGTGAAGATGCATCTCCTGGCTTGTGGAGAGAGAGTTGCGATGAGGATGGGTGAGGAAGGCAGTGGAGCCCCAGGGAGGACAAACACCCTCTGAGGGTCAAGTCTCTGCCTCAAACCCAGCACGCAGGGGAGGGCCCCCCAGGAAGGACGTTGCTCCCCTGCAAGGGCGGAATCTCTTCGTGAATCTCCCAAGGCCGGCTACAAGAGGCTGAGTCATAAGGAAGTGGACATGGGTACCGGAGGCACCCCCCGGGGCCCAGAGAAGCTTCTGGACCCTCCAGGGCATGTTCCCAGGGAGGCACTGCCCGCCTTTGTCCTGGGCAAGGGCACCGTGGCTTACCTCTCACCCACACCTCTCAGGTCTCCCCTCTAAAGCCGGCAGCCCCAGGGGAGTGTGAGAACCGGGGTTGGGGGGTGGGGGTGGGGGGGAGGGGTAGGAAGGAGAAGGCCAGAGGGTCAGGTCAGGGGTCCGGAAGCCCGCTGTGATGGTGTTGGGGTGGAGACACACAAGATGCTCCCGCCCCCTCTGCTCCAGATCACTGGAGTGGGGTGGGTAGGTGGGCTCTCACCTCCTCATCCCTTGCCCCTTTCGGGTCCTATTGTAAACCCTCACACCTCTAGGTCTCACCCAGCCCCCAGCACCCTCAGGAAGCTGCAGCCTCCTTCCCGCCCTCCCGGAAGGAGAGGAGAGACTCCCCAAGGGAGGTACCTGGTCCCCAAGGTTCCCCCCATGGGCCACAATGCCGCCCCTGTGCAATTGCTGAGGGTCCCCAAGAGTCCTGCCACACCGCTGCCATCTGAGGTGGGGACCAGGCGCCGTCTGAAGTTCAAGAGGCACCCAGCTTGCCGTGCCCCCCACGCGGCTGTCCCTTCCACCTGGACGGAGCAGACACTGGTCTCTTCTCACTGGGTTTCCTGGCGGGGACTCAGCCCGCTGCAGTCCTCATTCCAGGCTGGTCGTCGTTCTCTCAGGAGCGACACCAACTGGCCAGCCCAGGGGTGGAAAAGCCGCAGCAGGTGCAAAGTGGGGGTGGAACAGGGTGGGACTGGGTGCCCGGTGGAGCACAGGCGGCCCGGGCACTTTGGGCTGGCCCTGGGGGTCCCACCTGCGGGCTCTGAGCAGCTGGGAACTCTCTAACCAAGTCCGGTTCACTGGGAGTCCAGAGGCGCCCGGGGTGCCCTGATTGTCATTTGGAAGCCCCCAACGAGTGTAGGCAGGTATCTGGGTCCCTGGGGTGCCACTCTGGGGTATCCCTGCCATCACACTCCTCCTCAGCATGGGGAGGAGGAGGAGGAAGATGCAGACTCAGAATGCCCATGGGGGTGCTGTGCCCCCCACCCCCCAGGATCCAGTGAGCTGCGGAGGGCAGGACAGGCTCTCTCCTGCCCTGGCAGTTTACATCTTCCCTGGGCAGACCCGGGTGAGTCAGCAGCTTCCCTGGGCTATCGGGGGAGAGGGAGGAGCGCGGGGTGGGCATCGCAATGACTCCCAGGCCCTGCTCATGCCATTTGGTCCCCAAGGTGCACCACCCCGTGCAATAAAGCCCAGAGGGAGCAGAAGGCGGGAGATCGGGGGAGATTCCGCCTTCAGAGCTGGACAGGGTCTGGCCCATGGCTTCAGCCTCCACCAGCCATGCCCATTTGGGGCGACTTCATGCCCCCTTTCCGTACAAGCCCAAGGCTGGCATCCCGTGGTGGGAACCCCAGTAGGATTCACTCAGGCTGGACTCAGTGGCAGCAGGCATGGGGAACTCCCAGTGAGGGACAAAGGCTGGCAGGGAGGGTCGCCTTGGATGGGGGCCGGGTGCTGGGGTCACAAGGTTAGTGGGCCTTGACTCTACTGCACCCGAGACCCCCAGCTGTTGATAACCCCACGGCCCAGCCCACGCCAGGCCACACAGAGCTGGGGCTTTGCCAAGGGACCCCGGATTCAGTCTCGGGGTTTCCAAATCATCAGTACAGCAGAGATCAAGAATCCGTCTTAGATTCTGGCTGTGCAAAGAACTCAGGGGGAACCCCTACACCCCACTACATCAAGCGGAATGAGTGAGCATGTGGCACCCCCCACCGTCACTCCCCAAGTTGGAACCTGCATTTCAGGGGGAAGATGTCAGGTGTTTGGGGTCAGACTGGTGCTGTGGGTTCCAGCAGCAGTCTCGAGCAGAATGAGATGAAGAGGGTCTGGAAGCAGCCAGAGGAGGTAGTGAAGGTGGTAGGTGCCACCCCAGCCCTGGGTGGTGGCCCAGGACCCCTCACAGGGTGCCAGAAACAAGGGGAAGAGCCAACCCGGAGTGCGCAGACAGGGGCACGGATGCTCGAGAGATCAAGTGTTGTGACTGTCTGTTTGCGGGGTAGCCAAGGGCTTCCTTAGCCACAGATGGAGGCTGCAGCCTGAGTTCAGGCTGGCTCCGGGATCCCAGGTTCCTTGGAAAGTCGGACTGCAGGCGGGCGCTGGTGACCGGGCAGGGGCGAGGGAGGCTTTTGGGAGGATTCCGGGTTTGCAGAACTCAAGCTGCAAATCAATCGATTCTCTGAGCTTCAAACGACTCGGACCTTCGTGGGAGATTGCGTTTCAGCAGGGAATGAAACAGCACGCGTCCACTTGTCCCGGGTAGGTGTCCAAGGGGCGTTCGGGGCCGGCAAGGGAACAGCATCGGGTCTCGTCGGTGTCTTGCCCTTTGCAACCGCAGCTGGTTTCCTCTGTGGCGCTATCCCGGTAACCGCCACCAGAGGGGAGGCATGTCCCCATCTCACGCCACGGTGCAGCCTCAGCCGCGGGCCCGCGGGGGTTCCGGGGTTGGACGCTGCCAGAATCTGAAATGCCAACCACCAGATGGCAGGTCCTGGCAGGCGGCAGGTGTTGTACCGGTGAGGTGCCACCACTCCTGAGGTCTCAAGCCACCCTGGGGCGGCGGCGGTGTGGGGAGGCTTGGTGGCACCTTCGCGGCTCTTTGGGGATTTGCAACGAACGCTGGCTCCGTGCCCAGGTGGTCTTCAGGAGGGCACTGAGGTGGGCCACGGGAGGAGGCCCGGGTCCAGGCGGCTCCAGGTCGCTGGCGGCCATCCCAAGCCTGGTGCACAAACAGCCGTGACGCACATCCCCCGAGGTGTCAGCACGGCCAGGGCTGTGTTGGCTGGGGGGCAGGGGGGGCTGGCAATCCCTGAATTCCACTGTGCATTGCGGGGGGGGGGGGATGCTCATGGCCTGGGTGGGGGTGGTGCTGGGGGTCACACACCAGGGGAGAGGCACATCTATCCCCCGCAACAGTCAGATGGAGGTGGGGGATGCCTGCTCCCACCAAACTCCCAGAGCGGGGGCCGTGGTGGTGGTGGTGGTAGGGCCTCCCTGCCTCCAGCTCTGACCCCCGGGAGCACGGGCAGACCAGGGGCTTCTTTGTGTCTGCACCTCAGGGCCCCACCTGCGGATGAAAATGAGGGGACTTGACTCTGCCCCTGAAAACACACAAACCCCCAGAGGCCCCTGACAGTCCCAGGGATGCAGGGACGGGGAATATCATTCATTGACCTCTGAGCTTCTGAAACTAACTGTGTGTGTGTTGGGGTGGGGGTGGGGGATACGGGTGGGGGTGGGTAACAAGCTTTTTTTTTTTTGTAAAAAAAAAGCCACAAAGTTTTTATTTTTAAATAAATATATGATTGACTAAGGGTAAATGCTTGATTCTGTATCTATTTTATATTGTTGAGATGATGTAAAAATGTCTCAGGCAAGGGGCCAGAGAGATAATACAGCAGGTAGGGTGTGTGCTTGCAGGCGGCCCACCTGGGTTTAATCCCCCATCCCCAGCCCCATCCCCCCCCCCCCGCCCCGCATCCCATATGGTCCCCAGTAATTTCTGAGTGCAGAGCCAAGAGTAAGCCCTGAGCATCACTGGGGGTGGCCAAAAATGTCTCAGGTGAGAAGGGTTCTGAGCCAAGAACATTCGAGAAGCCCTGATTTAAGAAGCCCCAGAGCTTAGGCTCAGATGCCAGCTGGGGACCTGTGCTGAGGCCAAAGTGCTCCAGTTCTGGAGTGTAGGACACCGCAAACACTGTGTGATTCCAGAACAACCTGGGGATCCACTTGTCTTGACTGTATTTATTCCAGATGAAGAAGACAGGGATGGGCTGCTGTGCCTTACACCTGCTCCCGACAGTGCTCTGGGACTGACCACACTGGTCAGCAAGCACTAAGAAGGGCTCGCAGGGAAGGATGAGGGGCTCTTTTGAGTCTTTTACAAACATTCATGCATCGAGTTGGTGTTTCAGAAAACAATAAAACACTCCTGGGGCCGAGAGTTAGTGTGGCATTTAGGGGTCTTGCCTGGCACATGCCCGATCCAGGTTCAATTCCCAGCACACCCATGGTCCTGGCATGACCCAGGCAGCCCTGGAGGGTCTTGAGCATCATGGGGGGTGGCCCAGATTAATCCCCAGCACTAAGCACTGGCCGTAGCTGGTCCAGTGTTCCCTCCCAGTGAGGCCCGGGACCCCGAGCACTGCTTGGAAGCCCCCACGTGCCATAACCAACTCCTTTAACTTCCCCCCTGCAGGCAAATGGAGGGGAACTGGACTCCTCTTTCTGTGCCCAGGTGGTAGCTCGTTTCTCCCCAGGGTCGCACACCCTGACACGGCTTCTGTGAGCCCCTGTGGACTCAGCCTCCCCCTACAG